TTACTAGCGCCACTCATTTTTGTTTCTGTATTTGTGTAAAGGATTACAAAAAGTAATGCAACCAGAAGGAGTATAAGAAGACTCACTAGCCCTACCCTTTCTATTCTGCCCTCTTTCTTTCCCGTGCACCATAAATTTCTGAAGTTTTTCCGTCGTGGTCTTGAGACACGGTTAAAACTCAAATAGAGGTGCATGCAGCATCCTTCACTTTTCTGTCTTGTCCCTGGTCAGATTTTTGGAAAAAGGTTTCTACCAGGAGAAGAGGAATCGAAACATATTCCATCTTGATGGAGCTGTGTAGATTGAAATAAATCATCTTTATTATTATTTTTTTTTCTGTTTCCTTTTGACACAAGCTGGTCAATATGATTTTAAAGCCTAGTCTTTCAGGTTTTACAATCATCCAACCATGTTATTAAACAATAAACAGTAAATAGTACTTTAATAACATTGTCACTTGTGTAATTTTTAGCATTAATGAAATGTCTTTGAATCATCTGTGTAATGGCAAATACATAAAGCAAGATTTGTTTTCGTGACCAAAATCACAATTGTGTACTGAAAACATATGACTGTATTTGTATCCGACTTTTGAAGTTTATAATCAAACAGTAGTTCTTGTCAAAACATTATCTTCCCGATCTCTACATGATGTTTTGTCAACCTTAATTATGTTGTGATTTTTCTTTTTTGTTTTTTTGTTTTTTCTATGTCTTAATTTTTCTCTGAAGATCTATGGTATTAAATGCACTGGTTCTGTCTCATCATTTTGGTGAATTTAGATGTTATCCTCAGCTTCCTTTTTCTTTTCTCTCTCCTTATTTGTATTCTGCACATCAGGGAGGGACTGCTTTTCAACACTGTTATCATCCTGTTGTGGCATCAAAGACTAGCACAACAGAACTTGCACGGCAGTCACTGCTGTTAGGTGAGGGGGGGGAGGAGGAGGAAGGAAAATGTAATTTTATGAATAAACAAGGGTAAGGTTATGTTTCTTTGTATGCCTGTTTAATCATTTTGTCCTATCTAATTAACTATCACACTGGATTTTTATAAATATATCTATATCAGCTTGTGCTAGTAATGACAACTATGAGTTGTACTGTTGTGGCTTGTAAATGATTTTATCCCACTGCCCCACAAGAGTTTAAAAGACATGTATTATCTGTAGCTGGCCACAAATTGGCTTTGGCATTACTTTTACTAACTCTCTATATTTCCCGATTCCTTTCCTGTTTCTTTTCTCTCCAGGCTATTGTCTACATATCCTGAGATTTCCTAAAGATTAGATTTCTGTTTAAACTGGCTTTGCTTTCTTGGCTGTTAACACATGCTCACTAGAGTTTCCTGGACAATACCAAGTATAATAATCCCTTAGCTAATCTAAGTGCATCTGAAGAGATCCGTAAAGTAGAGAGGTAATTGTTCAGTTAGCGCTAAATACAGGTTTACTGTTAGGTTTTTGTTTGTTCCTGTTATCCCCCAGGTGTTTTGTGAAAAGGTGAATCCTTTGTGCCAACCAAGGTTGCAAAGTGGTTTGAAGAAATTTTAGACACATAAATCGTAGGCATCTCATCCAACCAAACAAGCTCCAGATAAACTTAAATATATAATTATATAAAGATGTGGACAAAATTATAAGCCTTTAAGCTTTTTTTTTGCAAAACCTTCCCAAGTGCTCTTTTACAAAGCAAGGGATTTTCAATGTAATATTTCTAAATGGGCTAGTTTTCTTTATAGGCATAAATGATTTCTATTTGCACACAAGGACATAATTATTTTTTTAAGTTATAAGTTGCCTATTGAAAAACTGACCTTTTTAATGACCCATAGCACACTGCTCTGCATTGACAAAACAAAAATAAGTTTAAGACACAAAATAAATAACTAAAAATTTCAAAGACCCCAGAACAACTGCCAAGACTTAGCCAAATTGATAAATGTAGTCTCAAAGAAGACAATCACTAGACCTCTCCACAGGAATGGACAGCAGACCAAGAAACCCCCCATTTCTGCATAAGAGACATCTTCAAGCCAGACTGAAGTACACTAAGGACAATCTGGAGAAAAATTAGACATACTGGAAGCATGTCTTTGGTCAGATATGACTACGTTACAAATAGCTTTTTCACCATAAAGACACTGCACAGGAGGCATGGGTGTGACATGTTGAAAACTACAATTTAAAACACGCTCCACAGGACAAGACTCAGCAGTCCATCTGCATCTTAAGGATAAAGGACACTCTTTCGAGGATGCTAATGTTCACATTTTGGACAGAGAGGACAGATGGTTTGAAAGAGGAGTGAAAGAAGCCATCTATGTCCACTGTGAGCGACCATCTTTGAACAGAGGCGGTGGTTTACGACACCAACTTTCTGCCATCTATAATCCAGTTTTGAGTTCCCTTCCCAGATGCCTTAACGCCCACTCACATCCTGGGCCATCTGATTTCAGGAATTCACATGATAAGGGGGGGCCAGGTTTCACAATGAACTCACCCGAAACTCTGGCTGATTGGGACCCACACCCAATTTCACACCTTGGCTCAGGCGATTAGAGGATCATCAGGGGGTCCTTTTGTCCCCCTGTGGGGGGATACTCCCACTAGGTTTATATCTGGGACTCTCCACCATTTGACCTTAGAACTGAAGAAGCTTCTCGGATGAGAGGTGAAACGTCTTCAAGTAACTTAAAGAAGTCCAGACGCTTTTCTTTGCAAGCTCCTTTGACTACGATGACCTGGATGACTGAGAACCTTCACAGACATACAATTTAAAACACACAATTGATTGCTAGCATCAGGCCCTGGTAGTTTTTGGTTTTGTAAAATAACTTTGTTTACCTGCTTAAATAATGTAAAAAATAAAACGTGGATGTTTTAAAAATCCCCTACTTATTCCCTAAGTCACTCAAGTCATTCACAAGTCTGTGAATGATACTCATGGCCACTGGTCAGTGATCATGAGAATTTGCATATTGACGATGATGAAACTGAACTGACTGTTAGTCAGTGGTGCTACTTTCAGTCTTTATGCAAATGTACCATTTATAAGGCTGGGGAAACCTGTAGTCAGCTGAAACTCAAGCTGTACTTTGCACTAAGAATACTGTGTCCAGATAAACAGAATGAGCTCTCTCTGGGATTTCATTACTGTGATGGTCTAAGGAGCTTGGAAAGAAAAGCATCTGGATGTTTCACCTCTCACCCAAGAAGCTTCTTTAGTTGTAAGGGTCAAATGGCAGAGTCCCAGATTTAAACCCCGTGGGAGTTTCCCCCCAAGGAGAGAAAATGACCCCCTGATGATCCTCTACCTAATCACATGAGCCAAGGTGTGAAAACGGGTGTGGTTCCCAATCAGCCAGGGTTTCGGGTGAGCTCATTGTGAAACCTAGCCCCACCCTATCCTCTGACTTCCTGAGGTCAGATGGCCCAGGGTGTGAGTGGGCATTAAGGTGTCTGGGACGGGATCTCAAAACTGGATTATAGATGGCAGACAGTTGGTGTCGTAAACCACCACCTCTGTTCAAAGATGGTTGCTCACAGTGGACATAAATGGCTTCTTTCACTCCTCTTTCAAACCATTGAAAGAGTGACCTTTGTCCTTTAGATGCAGATGGACTGCTGAGTCTTGTCCTGTGGAGGTGGCTCTTCTATGTTGTGCTATGCGCTTATGAAGTGGCTGTTTGGTCTCTCCAATGTAGAGGTCTGGGCAGTCCTCGCTACACTGTACAGCATACACCACATTGTTAAGTTTGTGTTCTGGAGTTTTGTCTTTCGGGTGAACCAGTTTTTGTCTGAGTGTGTTGCTGGGTCTGAAATGCACAGGATGTCGTGCTTGGAGAAAACTCTCCTGAGTTTCTCTGATACACCCGCTACATAGGGGATGACAATGTTGTTGCGACTGTCCTTATCCTCCCTCGCTGGTGTCTGATCTTCTTTTCTGTGCATCTTTGCTGACTTTATAAACGCCCAATTTGGATAACCGCATGTTTTAAGTGCTTCCTTTACATGTGTGTGTTCCATCTTTTTCCCTTCAGGCTTAGAGGGAACATGTTCTGCCCGGTGGTGTAGGGTCCTAATTACTCCAAGTTTGTGTTGCAGAGGGTGATGGGAGTCAAAGAGGAGGTACTGGTCCGTGTGTGTGGGCTTCCGGTAAACTTCGATGTTGAGGTTGCCACTCTCTTCAGTGTGCACAGCGCAGTCCAGGAAAGGCAAACAGTTATCCTTTTTGTTGTCCCTGGTGAACTTGATGTTTTTATCCACGACGTTAATGTGCACAGTGAAGGATTCCATCATCAAGACATGATGTATAAAAGCTACTTAAGGGGTCGTGTAATTTGATATTTTTGCCAAATATCCTTCCTGACACAACCCCAAGGGGGATTTGGATCTCTGGCTAGAACCTGTTTTTATTGTTATTATTTATTGTTAAATCACATTTTCACATTGTGTAAACTAACATGCATACACACTTGAGGTCAGTTGCTGTCTGTGGCAGCTGTTTTGCTGACATGCCTAAAAGAGGACATGTATAAAAAGGGATATTTAATCCTGAATTTGGATGTGTGGAGCTATTCAGTTTAATTATTCCTTAGTCAGAATGTCTTTAATCTTATCCTTTAACATTGTCCTATAGAAAAGGCCCAAAAGGAGCAGATTTTAGCCTTCTATAATAGTCCTGAAGGAATCCTAAAACTTTAAATTTACCTGATGGGGTTTAGTTGATAATGACACTATCGTTTAAACATTTATATTGGATATTTTTTCCAATACTTACTGTGGATTGTCATTTACTTCTGGGGTGCATACAGTGACATCTGGGGCTCCTTTTACGTAAAACAAAAATGTGAGAGCTGCAGATCCCACTATAACCAATAGAGGGTGAGCTGCTAGCTAAAGAGGGTTTAACAACACACGGCAGGAAGGTGAGCAAGGAAGACATGCAAGCGGAGATCTGTGGTAACATTTATGTTAACGCATTTAAAATATAAGGACATACAAATGACAAGATTCCTAACCTTACAGGCACTTAGTTAGCTATTTTTGCACGTGTTACACATGCAGAAGTGTAGCATATTAAAGGAAAAACCTAAACCATCACAGTGAGTTGATTCGTTTGATCTATGCTGTGGGCGGATTTAACTGGTCGGGGTCCGTTAAGGGGAGGGGCAATATAAATCAGTTGTCAATAAATCTGAAGAAGGCTATATCGGTTTTAATCGTAGACAGTACAAAATAACTTTGCTGCAATTCTAACAAATCCTACTTTGCCGACAGAACTTGAATGCAGCATATGAGCTAAACGGGAGCTGAGGAAGAAACTATAGCAGCGTGGATATGTCGGACCCGGCGGCGCAGGCCTTACAACCCCGGCTTCTTCAAGCCCAGTCTGCTGGGTCAGCGGGCTCCAGTACTACTACTACTGCAGGCTCAGGATCAGGGAACAGTGACCCGGTCAGACCAGGGCTCAGCCAGCAACAACGTGCAAGCCAGAAAAAAGCACAAGTCCGAGCTTTCCCACGGGCGAAGAAGCTTGAAAAACTTGGCGTATTCTCCGCATGCAAGGTAGCTAGCATAGCTAGCCAAAGTTCACCATAACAAAGCACTCTTCAGACAGTATTAGCATTACTTTGTATATTCAGGAACAAACATGTAGCACGTAACCTAACATACGTGTTGCAGTATCAGTTTTTAACTGTCAAGGCAGTCTTGTATTTGCTGTATTATTCACATTAAAGCCTCAAAAATGCATTTATTGTTAGGCTAACTGAACAGTCATTCATTTACGTACAAAAGCTACAGTTGTGTTATTGTGTAAATCGATGTGTATGGATTATTTGCGTATTTTCAGGCTAATGACACATGCAAGTGCAATGGATGGAAAAACCCAAACCCACCGTCGGCCACACGTATTGATCTGCAACAGCAAGCAGCCAGCCTAAGCGAGCCCTGCCGCAGCTGTGGACATGCTCTGGGTACAAACTAGCATCCACGTACTGCTCACCTTGGACATGCTGTAATAACGAACAAACGTGTATTCCAGTCATGCATTTACATTTTTTTTACACCTTAATTACAGCTAATCATGTGTCACATCTGGAGAACGTGTCTGAAGATGAGATTAACAGGCTGTTGGGGATGGTGGTTGATGTGGAGAACCTTTTTATGTCTGTACACAAAGAAGAAGACACTGACACCAAGCAGGTCTATTTCTACCTTTTTAAGGTATGGAAAAGGCATTCAAACATTAGTGTGATTGTGATACTGGTTCAGTTGAACTTAGAAGTTGATGTACATGACATTTTTTTAGCCCGATATAAACTTGTCTCGTTACTTCTTCACTCTTTCCTTCAGCTGCTGAGGAAATGCATCCTTCAGATGAGCCAGCCAGTCGTAGAAGGATCCCTCGGAAGTCCACCTTTTGAGAAGCCCAACATTGAGCAGGTAAATTTTAAGAAAATAGCTTCGGTGAATGTTTTGGTCTTAAGCAGTGTACTTACTGGTGAGCACAGACTTTAAATTAGGGCTGCTCGATTATGGCAAAAATGATAATCACGATTATTTTCACTGAAATTGAGATCACGATTATTTGACGATATTTATTTAACCCTTTAAGACCTACTATAGAACCAAGTCCACCAGAGCTTATATTATTTTTTTTTACATGCTGTAGTGCCATTTGTGGGAGCATTTCAAGTTGCTATACATCAATACAACTGTTATAGCCCATATTTTAATAATATGTATGCATTAAGTGCATAGTAATTACATAAATTGCAAAAAAAGTGCAATAAACTACAAAAAAAATTGAAAATCGCTTTTGTTTTGTTTACATATATTTCTACTTGGAGAAGTTTAAGAGGTTTATCCCTCAAAACTTTAAATACAATAAAGTTGCAAAAAATAGTTTCCCACCACAGGAAATTTATTTTGAGTGTCTTCATAGTTTTATTTTGGAGATACAGCAATTTTTATATACTGCAGGAAAAACAAAAAACAATCCTATGATGCAAATTTGCAAAGAAAACAGCATGTGCATCATTTCACTGTGGGAAGTGTTACAAACAGCTGATAGGAACGGCAAAGCGTGTTTCTGGAATATTATGTTTTTGTTCCTGCAAGCGCTTTTTATGCAATTTTTGCAAAGCTATATGTGGAACGAAACCGTGACCGAGGACAAGCTGATGGTATGAGATGTAAGTACAACTCCTCCGGTTTCATATGCAAAACAAATTATTGCGCTAGCTTACACGGTTCAGGTTCTACAGGGATTTAAAAATAGTTACGCAAAACGGAGCGTGCTGCTCTGACCGGCTTTAAAGGGTTAACAATGACTTTAAAAAAATAATATAAAATAGTGTGCAACACCACTGAAGTTTGTTTTTTTTAAACTCTCTTTTCAACCAACGGCAGTCACTCTCCAAATAACTTCTGCTTAGCTTTCCGAGCTTCCCTCGGGTCCTCTTAATCAGCGGTCTCCAACCTTTTTTGCGCCACGGACCGGTTTATGCCCGACAATATTTTCACGGACCGGCCTTTAAGGTGTCGCGGATAAATGAGGGAGGGGCTAATAATCGGCTCAGTCATTTTTAATGATCGTTGAAAGCCCAGATCGTAATCGTGATTAAAATTCGATTAATTGAGCAGCCCTACTTTAAATCTTTAAATATTTTTGTCTTTCTTTTAATTTCACAGGGGGTTTTGAATTTTGTCCAGTATAAGTTCAGCCACCTTGCACCAAAGGAAAGACAGACAATGTTTGAACTGTCAAAGATGTTCCTTTTGTGCCTAAATTACTGGAAGCTTGAGACCCCTACGCAGTATCGTCAACGTACCCAGAAGGATGATGGGACAGCTTACAAAGTGGACTACACTAGGTGCGTTCATTTGATAGTAGGGAAAGCCGATGTGTACATTTACTTGTTTCTAAAGTGACTATTGTATGTCAGTCTGTGCAATAAGGCGTTTCTTCTTATGATCGCAGGTGGTTGTGCTATTGCCATGTTCCGCAAAGTAATGACAGCTTACCGCGCTATGAAACCACTCAGGTGTTTGGGCGCAACTTGCTCAAGTCCATTTTCACTGTCACCCGACGCCAACTCCTGGAGAAGTTTAGGGTGGAGAAGGATAAACTGCTACCAGAGAAACGTACACTTATCCTTACACATTTCCCCAAGTAAGGACAAGCTTTATTGAAACGGTGTATCCTTGTATTCAAGTTAAAAGGCAACCTGAAAAGCTGCAGAAAGATTATCAGTGTACTTGATGGTGCACTGGACACTGTTCACATTCATCTTGTGGGGATCACTTTATGGTTATTACATTTGTACATGTGTGTCTTCAGGTTCTTGTCCATGCTGGAGGAGGAAATCTATGGTGAGAATTCACCCATATGGGAGGCTGATTTCACCATGCCGGCCTCCGATGGCACACAGCTCGGACATCAGACAGGTGAGGCAGTCATAAAGTTGTACAGTTGAGCTTTTGCAATGTGTTTGGTCTATGTGTAAGGCATATGTTTAAAGGCAAATGAAGAGTGAATGTGGCAGTATGCTAGCAACCCAAGAAATCACAAGAAGGTTTTTGGTGTGGCACACAACGTTTCAATGACTGTGCATTTTTCTTGCGCAACCTATGGTTGCCCGGAAGGCTCTAGACCTGTGTGACTGAAGGCTTAGTTCCTGTTGTATAGTTTGTAAATATGTCAAGTCTTTTTGTCTGTCATTGCAGTGATCAGTCCGGCTTCAGTGTCTGGCTCTCCTGCTCTGTCCAAGTGTCTGAACAGCAGCTCTTCTGTCAGCAGCATGGATACTGGTGGAGCAGAACCAAAGACAGGTGTGTAAACCAACATTAAAACCACCTGCACAGGAGTCTAGAATGTCTAGTGCTTAGATGCTGTCAGTGGCCTCTGTGGATCAGACATGTTTTCAGCACTTCCTGTGGGTGCACAATTGGATGATATTTTGAAGGTGAACCAGCATGTCACTGGGTTTTACTATCGTGGCTAATCAATATATATTATTTTAAGATGTAGAGATTTTTTTTTTTTTTTTCCAATCAGACCTTCCTGTGTCATAGATCACTGTCGGCGAATGTTTATGCTTTTTATTGCTTTGATCTGAGAAATGTTGCGCTCATTTCAGGAGAAAAGCGCAAACTTCCCGAGACCTTGACCCTGGAGGATGCCAAGCGGATTCGTGTGATGGGAGATATACCAATGGAGCTGGTCAATGAAGTCATGATGACAATCACTGACCCTGCTGCTATGCTCGGACCAGAGGTCAGTTGGTTAAACTCCATTCTTTTAATGTTTGGTTAAGTTCATAACACCTGTGTCATGTCTAGGGATGGGTACCGGTATCACCGGTTCTGACATAAACGGTAGTAACCAGACCGAAAAGCAGCGCACATTTCGGTGCTTTTTTTCCCTGAGATGTCACACACTTTGAATTCTAGCCAATCATTTTACCTTTGCAAGCGTAGTAGGCGGGCCCAGGTACGTATGTTCTTTTAGAGCAAAGCTACAGATTAAAAATGCCCAAGGCGAAGTGGTCAAAAGTCTGGCTGTACTTCACAGCAAAATCTACAAACTCAGCAGCCTGCAACAATTGCTTTAAGCTGATACTGTAATACTGTGCAAAGGAGGTAACACCTCGAATCTGATGAAACACCTGGCGACGTACAGCGTTTTTTTTTTTTTTTTTTTTAAAAGCCGTTTTTTATTTATTATAAATATTATTATTCCGGCACCGTTTCAAAAGTACCGGTTTGGTACTGGTATCGGATAAAACCTAAACGATACCCATCCCTAGTTATGTCTAAGGAGACACCCTGGTCAATTTTCTGTGATCAAAATTTTAACTCACCAGGCAAGGTAACATTTTTAGCATGGAACAATTATGAATGAGTTCAGTCACATTTACTATGATGTGTCATAACAGCCTAAGTGGTGGTATTTAAAAAGCTTTGACTTAACACCAGGGTTATGTAAAGAAGTTGGTGTTGTTTTGGTACAATTTTAAAGACATTTAATACTGATGTTGTTTTTTGTTTTTTTTGTTATGTTTAATATTGCTAGACTAATCTGCTGACACCAAATGCTGCCCGTGATGAGACTGCAAGGCTGGAGGAGAGACGTGGTATCATAGAGTTTCATGTCATTGGAAACTCACTTTCCCAGAAATCAAACAAGAAGATCCTGATGTGGCTGGTTGGCCTACAGAATGTCTTTTCACATCAGTTACCTCGTATGCCCAAAGAGTACATAACACGACTGGTGTTTGACCCGTAAGTCTAACGTTCTTTCCACATGTTGTGCCACTTGAGGCCCACACATGTTTGACATCTCCGTCTTTTTTATTATTTTTTTTTTTTTTTTTTTTTTTTTTTTTAATAGGAAACACAAGACCCTAGCCCTTATCAAAGATGGCCGCGTCATTGGAGGCATCTGTTTTAGGATGTTTCCCACTCAGGGCTTCACAGAGATCGTCTTTTGTGCCGTCACATCCAATGAGCAAGTTAAGGTATATAATAAGGGGTTAAATTTATACTCAGTTTTCAGTTCGGAAAAACCAGCTTACCTACACGTACCTATAGCAAAATAAACATGAATACGATTATGAGCAGTATTGCTGAATATTGTTGGAATTTCTTTTATAAATACGGTGCTTTTTCTCGGGTCTCTTTAAGGGCTATGGTACCCACCTGATGAACCACCTTAAGGAGTACCACATCAAACACAATATCCTCTATTTCCTCACCTATGCTGATGAGTATGCCATTGGCTACTTCAAGAAGCAGGTACTGCAGGCGTGACTTGTGCATTAACTTTCCCTCTCTCATTTTTGTCTTTCTATTAATTTTTTTTCTTTTTCCCTCCGCAGGGCTTTTCCAAAGACATCAAAGTGCCGAAGAGTCGATACCTTGGATACATCAAAGACTACGAGGGAGCGACCCTCATGGAGTGCGAACTGAACCCTAGAATCCCTTATACCGAGCTTTCTCATATCATTAAAAGACAGAAGGAGGTACGTCAGAAGTTCTCATTAAAGCAAACCTTGTTTTTCTTCATTTTTGTGAACATGTCAGTGTGTTTCTTATGAGATAAATTTGAAAATGTCAATAGATTATTAAGAAACTGATTGAGAGGAAACAAAGCCAGATCAGAAAGGTTTACCCGGGTCTCACCTGCTTCAAAGAGGGAGTACGACAGATCCCAGTGGAGAGCATTCCAGGCATAAGTGAGTGTTTGTTTTTGTGTTTGTGTCTGAAAATATATATAATAAAATGCTTATTAATGTTTTACTTACAAGTACTTTTATACATATTTTTTTTATTTTTTTGTCTTTCTATTCAGGAGAGACAGGCTGGAAACCCAGTAACAAGGACAAAGGGTAAACTCTTTGGATATATTTTTAAATGATGTTGCTTTGGACTGTGACCTCCCCTGCAGGGACACTTTCATTGAACAGATTAAGATTTAGAAATGACTGAGTAGTGAAGAAAACAAACAAAAAAAATGTATAATAAGAAATACCTACTGAAATATACAATTTATCGAAGTTGTTATGATTTTGGTATTAATGCTAAGATGCCACTATTGTTGGTGTTCAGAAATGTATTCACCTAACTTTAGCTTTTTGTTGTGTTTTTAAGTCTACAGGTCCTTTAACCTTCTCAGGTTCAAATTACACTTTTTGTTGCTAATGCACAACCAAGTCCTGCAGTGGTACTTCTGAGTAAAAAAAACCCCTCATAAAATATGTATGTGGGGTAATCAGGTTGTTAGTTTTTAACTGTTGCAAATCGGCAACGCCTGCCTTGAGAGGGCTAAGTGTAGTCAAAGGTTTACTTATCATTTATATCTTTCATAGGAAAGAGGTGAAGGATCCTGATGTGCTATACAACATGCTGAAGAACCTTCTCGCCCAGATAAAGGTGAGGATCACCAGAGGCCTGTATTCGGAAGCAGTATTTGGGGCTTAACTTCAGGGTTAACCATAGATTTTTGCTGTTATGAGGGTTAACTCTTTTACCAGGGTACATCATGGTGCTAAGAAGTTCCCATAAAAAGCGTCATCCGTGAGAAGTGAAATGCCTTTAAAACAAAACAAAAGTCCAGTTGTATTTGTTTATTTTCAAGCTCTCATGGCTACCATGACCTGGATGAGTGAGAACCTACACAGACAAATCAACCTACACAGTCATAACAAATTGACTGTTATGACTGCATAACAGTCAATTTGCATTGACTAACAATGGACCGTGAGTTCAGTTTCACGATCTCGAGTATTAATATTGTCATGACTATTGATCTATTTCCATGGCTACCATATTCACGAAGAGTTTGGGAATGGCCGCTGTCACAGTATTGTAAAGCCTGGATTATACTCTATTGCAGAGATGGACAGCTGGAGACCCGACGGCCGAATACTCATTTCTGTTATACTTCAGCTGCCTGGGCATATGTGTAGTTTGTGCACTGTAATGTAATTCTACACAGACAAGTCTGCCCAGTCACAAAACAACAAACAGGCACATGGACATTCACGTATGTCCTCAGGCTTAATGTCCGATGACGAAATTTAGGTCACAGTCTGCCCAAGCGGAGTCATGGATGCTGAAAACATGAAAACCGCTTTAGATGGTGAAATATGTACTCAAAGGCCCCCTCCTCAGTTCAGAACAGGTCACTGCCTTTTCATATAATTGACCTCCTTGACTCTCCACTCAGTCACACACCATTGCTTTGGATGCATCACTTGTGTGGACTTCAGTCAGTATTTTTTCAATATTTGTAACATAAGCTGCTCTGCTGCCAGCAGATTTGCATGTTTGTCATTGGACACTTAAGGAAAAGAGATTCTTGGCATGTTGAACTTGCTTTCAGGTACAAGCCCCAGCTAACACCTGAGTGGAGCACACACAAGGATACACCCAGACTAACAAGACCTGAGACTAACTAAAACTTTGTCACCTCTGCAGACTCATCCTGATGCTTGGCCCTTTATGGAACCAGTGAAGAAATCTGAAGCTCCGGATTACTACGAAATCATCCGTTTTCCTATTGGTGAGTAAGCCTCGCTTAGATAATATGACCCCCCACCCCCCAGCAATAGTTTGCAAATCTCTTAAAACCTGCATTTTACAATACAATACACAGTTCAAAGTAAAAACATAAGAAATTAAAACCTAGCAAATCTGTCACTTTAAGAAAAAAAAGGTTTTCAACCTGATGGCAGCAACATATCTTTTAAAAAAGGTGGTACAGGGACTATATGTTTCCCACTGTGTAGCATCCTCTCTTTTATCAAAAGTCTGTAAACACCTGGGAGCTGAAGACAATAGCTAATGGACTTTCAGGGGGAGCAGTGTTGAGCCCGTTCTTGTCTGATATAGGATTCTAGCGGCTCAACCGTCCAGGGTCGTCTTTGTTGTATTACTGGTTTCATGATATGCCAATTTTTTTTTTTTTTTTTTTTAATTGGTCTGGACTGCAGGCAGGCCAGTTTAACTCCTGGATTCTTCTACTACCAAGTCTTCTTATTGTAATAGATGCAATAGGCAACTTAACATTGTCTTGCTGAAAAATGGGTGGCCTTCCCCAAAAAAGCTACCTTGATAGAAGCTGCTGCTGTTAGTTTTTTTTTTTTTTTTTTTTTGATAGTTTTTTTTTTTTTTTTTTAATGCCCAATCATGTTACTGATATGTTGTGGATTAACCTATTTTGTTGTAAAATGTTCTTCCCAACTGTCTTGACGCATGCTCAATCATCCAGGTAAGTAAATCACAAAAGTTGATTCTGTTCATCTAGATGTAGCGTTTTCAGTGGGAGAAATATTTTGTCTCTCATCCAAGTGACTTCCTCAGACTGAAGAAAATGCTATAACCAGACAAACACAATCAACTTTTTGGGGTTCCTCCCAGCTGTTCCCTTTGAATCCAGTTTACTTTTCCAGTTGCTTGTGCCTATGTTCCACCTTGTTTTTGAGATGTGTTACTGCCATCAAAATGGTTTCTGTGATAATATAGATAATATATGGGTTTGAGATTTTCACATCATTGCATTTCATTTTTGTTTACATTTTACTTCCCAGTGTTTTTGGAATTGGGGTTATTGTTTGTGGTATTTAAGCCATTACTTTTTAATTTATGCAGATTTTCTTTGTCCTTGTTTTGCCCTCACAGACCTAAAGACTATGACAGAAAGACTCAAGAACAGATACTATGTGACCAAGAAACTTTTTATTGCCGACCTACAGCGAATCATCACCAACTGTCGCGAGTACAACCCCCCAGACAGCGAGTACTGCAAGTGTGCCAACACCTTAGAAAAATTTTTCTACTTCAAATTAAAAGACGGAGGTCTGATTGAGAAATGAAGCCTGCCTCAGAACTATTTCGACTGACAAGGAGTTACTTTCACAGCGGCCAAACGCCGAGATAGAGAAGATTTTTAGCTATTGTCATATCTTGGTTAAGAAAAGGTTATTTTCAAGGGGAAAAAAAAGAATTGCTGAAAAATTGTTGGACTTGCATCACAGCCAGTTGAATACTACAAGTTTCAAAATGTGATCCAGTTAAACTTACCTGATGACGTCTTCTTTCAGTACTCGCAGTGGGTGAATTATCTGCTAATACGTGTTTCAATGAGTGTACCAAAGTTACAGGTCCAAGTAATAATGCGACTTTCCACCATTCTTTGTAGAGTGACAGATTCAGCTTTGTTGCATTTTACAGGAGCCAGTGTTTAAGTAGTAAAGAGTTCATTAAAAAAACAACAAAAACTGGACCTTGGGACCTAAAGCCACGTTGCCTTCCATTACTGAGACACTTGAGCATCCCAGCCATTTTCATAGGAATGAATATAAAAGCTCTAAGGGGCAAAGTGCTTAGAGCACTTGAAAAATGGGAAGTACTTTGCTAAGTAGTACTGAAACAATTGAATTAGTCATTTGTTTAAAAAAAAGAAGAAAAAAAAAGAGTAAAATTGTTACTCTCACGTGAAGTGCAAATTCTGAATGTTTGCAAGTGAGGACTTTTTTTTTTTTTTTTTTGCTTTCTCTTTTAATATTTACCATCTATTGATTTTGATTTTTTTTTTCCTAAATGTTTGACTGTTGGTCATGATAAAAGAAAATTGTCATTTGGATAAATGACTAATTATGAGAACAGCACTGCAGATGAAAATAACTGCTGGTTGCAGCTCTACTGTTAAGACAAATTGAGGCACTCCGTGATGGACTGGGCATAAAATACTTCCAGCACTTGTGTGATGAAGAAAATAAGTAAGTCAAAAGTTACCTTAATAGAAAAGTTTTCATGCTAATATAATACTTATTTATACATAAAATATAAAACATAATGTTTATGCAGCATTCCAAACGATTTTGATGAGGTCACAGTTAGTATAGCTTCTTTTGCAGGTGTTTACTGTACGTGTTTGAACTGATTTGTCCTGTAGGACTGTCACCTCCACATAGGGAGTGCTTTGTGTGTAGCCTCACTTTTGTGGTGGTTCCATGTTTACTGGTTAGTTTTTGTTGCAAACACAAAAAACAGGGGAGGCAGATTTTAATCAGCAGTCCTGTATAGATTATGACTTGGAAAGAGAACATGACTTGGTTTATTTTATCACACTGTTCGCAAGCTGTGGAAGGTGTTAATGCATGGCTACAGTTTACAATGTGCATTAAAAAAACAAAACAAAACCTTCAGGCACAGTTGCAGGGTTTAAGTGTTTTTTTTTTTGTTTTGTTTTTTTTGTTTGTTTTTTTTTCCTTTTAAACTTTTCATCAACATCGTATGTTTGCGTGTGTGTGAATGTCTGTTTTGTTTTGTACTTGAATCATGACAAGCTTTGAATTGTTGGAGTGATGTCAGTGTTTCGTTATTCAGGGTTGTCAGTTATGTAGTTCATCCTCAGACTACCAATGTTGCATTTCAGACTTTCTTAAAAGGTGTCTGAGTGAACCTTCCAGCTGTTTGAGGATGGCTACTGTTGAGTTATGGTTTAAATACCGTTTACTGTAACTGTAAAACTGTTCACGACAATAAAGTTGTTGGGGTTGTTTTGTTTTTGGTTTTTTTGGTAAATAATTCTTTTCATGGTCACTTGGCTAAATAAAGAAGGTCACCAACAAACACTTTTAATCTGAGGCAGAAATATTAGTAAAATCATAAAAGGCTTTTTAGAGGACAGTGAATATTATAACCTAATAACACTAGTTAAGGCCACGTAGTGTGTAATGGTTGATTTCATCAGTGAACTTTATGATCCGCTCAAATGTAAAAAATTGCGTGCATATAACTAAAGAAGTGACTGTTATCTATAATGCGTCTTTAGGCTCTCTTGTATGATTGTGTATAATAGGCTTTAGAGTTCTGTTTCCTGATGCAATGAAAACAAGACGGGTGTATCAAGGGCGTGGTGCATGCAAAAACTGATTAAAATCTACAACACCCTAAGGTTTACACAGTACTAAGATATATTTAGGGTAACTTTTCAGTTGGCCTGACACTTTCAACTGAAGGTTTTATCAGGAAAAATATTTATTTTCTTCAAAAATACTTGAGGCTTGTAAAGGCTAGTGGATCATTAACAGTGCTACCTAAACCAGTTAGATAAAATAAAGAAATTAGTCATCTCAGGCAAAAGTCCAGCTCCTCAGGGTAAGGAGGTGGTGTTTTTCAGTTGTGGTTTGTTTCTTGTCAAAGAATGCAAATTCTTAAAGGCGTTTTGGTAAAATCTAATGTGAAAAACAATGAATTATGAAATTTGAATTATTTATGGACACACCAAAAACAATATATTACTTCAATGTAGATGTAATGGTATACTTTACTTCTTTTCATGGTATTTTTCATTGATTTCTATTAGTTATAAAGAACATAAAATCCCTGCACAGTTAACTGCAAAATGTCTTGCTGCTGTATTATGTAAGGCTTGTAAAACAACTGCTTTATTGTCAATGACATTTAGGCTTTGTCACTGCATTTGAGTTGTGATTTGTTGTTCCTCCAGAGCCTCCCTCAGTTGGCCCATTCTGCACAGAGCTTTTGATTTCGTTTCTCTGTATCACACAATGCGTCCTTACTGTTGATATTTTGTGCTGTGACTCACATAGTGGATAGGTAATGGAAATTACCAAAGGATTTATTAGAACTTGCATATTGTTTACACAGTGCTGTAAAAAAGTAGTAAAAATTCCTACTTCGAATCAGCTGGGATTTTTTGTACATTAACTTTAGTTTATCCTTTTGCAACTTTCACAAACTTGCCTGCATACAGGGAGTGCAGAATTATTAGGCAAATGAGTATTTTGTCCACATCATCCTCTTCATGCATGTTCTCTTACTCCAAGCTGTATAGGCTCGAAAGCCTACTACCAATTAAGCATATTAGGTGATGTGCATCTCTGTAATGAGAAGGGGTGTGGTCTAATGACATCAACACCCTATATCAGGTGTGCATAATTATTAGGCAACGTCCTTTCCTTTGGCAAAATGGGTCAAAAGAAGGACTTGACAGGCTCAGAAAAGTCAAAAATAGTGAGATATCTTGCAGAGGGATGCAGCAGTCTCAAAATTGCAAAGCTTCTGAAGCGTGATCATCGACCAATCAAGCATTTCATTCAAAATAGTCAACAGGGTCGCAAGAAGCATGTGGAAAAACCAAGTTGCAAAATAACTGCCCATGAACTGAGAAAAGTCAAGCGTGCAGCTGCCAAGATGCCACTTGCCACCAGTTTGGCCATATTTCAGAGCTGCAACATCACTGGAGTGCCCAAAAGCACAAGGTGTGCAATACTCAGAGACATGGCCAAGGTAAGAAAGGCTGAAAGACGACCACCACTGAACAAGACACACAAGCTGAAACGTCAAGACTGGGCCAAGAAATATCTCGAGACTGATTTTTCTAAGGTTTTATGGACTGATGAAATGAGAGTGAGTCTTGATGGGCCAGATGGATGGGCCCATGGCTGGAGTGGTAAAGGGCAGAGAGCTCCAGTCCGACTCAGACGCCAGCAAGGTGGAGGTGGAGTACTGGTTTGGGCTGGTATCATCAAAGATGAGCTTGTGGGGCCTTTTCGGGTTGAGGATGGAGTCAAGCTCAACTCCCAGTCCTACTGCCAGTTTCTGGAAGACACCTCCTTCAAGCAGTGGTACAGGAAGAAGTCTGCATCCTTCAAGAAAAACATGATTTTCATGCAGGACAATGCTCCATCACACGCGTCCAAGTACTCCACAGCGTGGCTGGCAAGAAAGGGTATAAAAGAAGAAAAACTAATGACATGGCCACCTTGTTCACCTGATCTGAACCCCATTGAGAACCTGTGGTCCATCATCAAATGTGAGATTTACAAGGAGGGAAAACAGTACTCCTCTCTGAACAGTGTCTGGGAGGCTGTGGTTGCTGCTGCACGCAATGTTGATGGTGAACAGATCAAAACACTGACAGAATCCATGGATGGCAGGCTTTTGAGTGTCCTTGCAAAGAAAGGTGGCTATATTGGTCGCTGATTTGTTTTTGTTTTGTTTTTGAATGTCAGAAATGCTTAGGCTGCTGCCCCCGCGACCCGGCCCCGGATAAAGCGGATGAAGATGGATGGATGTCGGAAATGTATATTTGTGAATGTGGAGATGTTATATTGGTTTCACTGGTAAAAATAAATAATTGAAATGGGTATATATTTGTTTTTTGTTAAGTTGCCTAATAATTATGCACAGTAATAGTCACCTGCACACACAGATATCCCCCTAAAATAGCTAAAACTAAAAACTACTTCCAAAAACATTCAGCTTTGTTATTAATGAGTTTTTTGGGTTCATTGAGAACATGGTTGTTGTTCAATAATAAAATTATTCCTCAAAAATACAACTTGCCTAATAATTGTGTACTCCCTGTACTATGAAAAATTAAACGAGTTGGACTGCTTTGAAGTACAACCCCAATTCCAAAATATGGAGCCCTATATAAAATGTAAATAAAAGAACAAAGCAATGGTTTGCAAATCTCATAAACCCACATTTTATTCACAGTAGAACATAGTAAAACACACCAAATGTTTAAACTGAGAAACTGTACTATTTTAAAGAGAAAAAATGTGGTCACTTTGGATTTGATGGCAGCAACATGTTGCAAAAAATTTGGTAGAGGCCCGTGTTCACCATAGTGTAGCATGCTCTCCTCTTTTAACGCTTTACGAGATCTGCAGATAATTGCATCTTGTTTTTGATATTTTACACAATGTGCCAACTAATTACAGAGCTTAGAATGAAAGCCACAGGACTTTTTAAAGTTTCATGACGATGTGTCTTCTCTCATCCGAGAGGCTTCTTCAGTTCTAAACAGCCAGTCCAAAAAAACCATGCATGGTGTAATATAGAAGAGCCACCTCGACTCAGTGGTACATCTGCAGCTAAAGGTTAAAGGTCACTCTCTTAAGAATGCCAATGTTCGCAATTTGAATTGAGAAGATGACAATGGTTTCAAAGTGGAGTAAAAGAGGCCATAGCTGAACAGAGTCGGTGGCTTATTCCACCTTCAGTGCAGTTCTGAGATCCCTTCCAAGGTGCCTTAACCCCGATTCACACCTTGCGTCACGTTACCTTAGGTCACATGATACGGCGAGGCCTATCACCCTCTTAAGGGACAACCACTATTAAGGTTTACATACCTGAGATTCTCCGCCGTTTGGTTTTAGAACTGAAGAAGCCACTTTCTTTCCAAGCTCCTTTGAAAAAAGGGCAACTATGGTTTTAGTTTTTGGTTTTGGTTATTCTTACTTGTGAGTTTATATGTTTTCAGATGGCACAACTTTTTTGATGGTGACTTAAGCTGTACCCAAGCTCTGTAACGCAGCCAAATACTGTTGAAGCTCTTTTCTTGCCAGAGGGCAGAAAACAAGTGAATGAGTACATGTAAAAAATCCCCATGCCTTTTTTAAAGACTAATTCTGACAAGCTGTGTCTGGAAAACAAAACTACAATGAATACGTTAAGTTAGGGAATTACCTTGACTAATAAATAAATAAATCGATTTCTAAGCAGTACCTTGGGTGTGGCTTTTCTTAGAAGAACCTACTTTATTTTAGTGAAGCTCATTCTTCCCTTGTCACTGCATAATGATCACCTGCTGCCGTTCTTCAAGAGACTCCCTCGTGAGGCCCACTGTTCTGAGAACATAGAGGTTTCGTTTTCCAATTTCCACGTGACACAGCCTGTCCAAACAGAGTTTAAAACCTCACCAACTTGCAGTGCCTGGTGACAGCGGAAGAGGAAAGAAGCAGAACAACACAGAGCTCTGTCAGCACTGACTGGTGAGTTAAAATTACATTTTCTTCATATATAAATGATATCAAGTGTTTCTATTCACTATGCTTCTCAGAATGCTTGCTTGTTTTGTCACCAGCTTTAGTCCTACAGACGTTTAAGCCTTCAAATTGCAATGTGGTGTCCATTTCTTTTCTACAGTATCTGAAATCTATGCCATTCTAAAGTATTATTGGACAAAAAGACACTGGAAAATGTCAGATTTTGGACTATATACCTACCAGCAGGAAGTGGTTGAAAGGGCTCTTAAACGAGAGAACATCATAATATGGTTACCGACAGGAGGTGGAAAGACCCGCGCTGCAGTGTATGTGGCCAAAAAACACCTGGAGACCACACCAAATGCTAAAGTGATGGTTCTCGTAAACAAGGTACCTAAAACAGAAAAAGGGCAATAAAAACCATCGTAAAACTGGTATAAGAAGATGACTTCATATAATGTTTTTGATGTGTTCTATTATTCAGGTTCATCTTGTTGACCAACACTACAACAAAGAGTTTGAGCCTCACCTGGGTCTACGCTATGCTGTTAGGAAAGTGAGCGGAGAGAGTGATGAAAAGGACTTTTTTGGGTTAGTGGTGCAAGAGTCAGATGTGGTCATCTGCACAGCACAGATCTTGTACAATGCTCTGATTAACAAGGAGGAAGCAAGACATGTCGAGCTCTCAGGTGAGTCAAAGTGAGCTTAAACACGTCTGATTATGCTGTTATGCTGAAATGAACTGACTTGAGGATTTTCTACAGATATTACTCTGCTGATAATTGATGAGTGCCACCATACTCACAAGGAGTCTGTCTACAACAAAGTAATGAGACTTTATGTGGAGAAGAAGCTGAAGGGAGAAAAACCACTGCCACAGATCTTGGGCCTCACAGCATCTCCAGGAACAGGAGGCGCAAAGGCACTGGACAAGGCTGTGGAGCATGTACTGGAGGTCAGGGATTCATTTTTTATTTGAGCTTTTTATATAATTTATCTCTATTTAATTAGCTGGCTTTGCTTGAAAATGCTCCTCCTTTCAGATTTGTGCCAACTTGGATTCAGCCATAGTTTCAACTAAACAGTATGCTCCTGAACTGAAGGAAGTGGTGCCCAGACCCAGAAAAACCTTCAACATTGTCAACATGAGAGATAGAGTAAGCAGATATTAAAAAAAAAACAACAACAAACTGATGGATTTTGAAAAACTGCATTTTCTTGTAACATGAACAAATGCACTGAGAGACTAATGGGTAAAAGCCTCATCTACTAGTTCACCTCAGAAAAGACCACAAATACTTTTATTGCCACTCCCAAGACTAGTGTTAATTTAATTCCACCTTGGAAAAATGCTAATATAAGAGTCAAATATATCTGTAGTAGCAGAATCTAAAATAAAGATTTTCAAAAATTTCCTTTTAATTTTGCCTGTGCTTAAAGGGCTCTTGGGTGTCACATCACTGACTGACTGTCTGAGGCATTTTTTGCCCTGGGATGACAGCCACCTGGCAAAAATTGGGACCTGCTAGTAACCACAAATACATGTTTTTCTTTGAGGATCCTTTTGGTGATCATCTGAAGTCAATGATGACGATTATCCACGGTTACATGGATATTCCTCCAGACTTCAAACTGAGAGAGTGTGGAACACAAGAATATGAAGCAGATGTGGTGGTTCTGGAACAGCGAGGTAAGACCGTAGCATTTAATCCTTCTGCTGATGGCAGCGGTAAATACAACGGATTTTGTGAGAGTTAAGGTAATCAGTATTTAAATAAAAGAATACTGCTGTTTGTATCTGTCCTCTTTGACCAGGAGTACGAGACAACAACAGACTGCTTGCACAATGTGCGTTACACCTCAGGCAGTACAATGATGCCCTCCTCATCAATGACACCTTGAGGATGATTGATGCTTATCGTTCCCTAGAGGAGTATTACTCCACAAAGAGCACCAAGGCCATTGATGGGACAGACTTCTTCTTGTTGGGACTTTTTGAAGGTGAAAATCCTAACATTTTCATCACTTGCTGTTATGTGTTAATACCATAACTTTATTTTGTAGCTCATAATGCAACGTTTGATGATTTCAGCCAATAAAAATATTACTATTTTGTGGCACACAGAGAATCAGGTGGAGCTAAGGAACCTTGCTATGGATTCTCGCTTTGAGAACCCAAAGATGGATGAACTTCAACGCACTCTGTTACAACAGTTTGGGTCAGGTGTCCCATCAAGAGGAATTCTCTTCAGTAAAACTCGCAAAAGCACCCACTGCCTGAAAGACTGGGTCCTCAAAAACAGGGCATTGAAAGATGCTGGCATCAAGGCAGACATCCTCACTGGTGCTGGTAATGGCATCACCTACATGACACAGGTATGATGATATACAGTCTTCACCGATAAGCTTTGAGTCAGTCACATTCAGTAACATCTCTATGGACATTTCTGCATGTTTCCATGCTTTTATTTGCATATTTCTTATAGAATGAACAGGCAGAAACAATCAGGAGTTTCCGTATGGGTTCTCTGAACCTCCTGATCTCCACCAGTGTGGCCGAAGAAGGTCTTGATATACCTGAATGCAACCTGGTGGTGCGCTACGGACTCCTTACTAATGAGATCGCCCAGCAGCAGGCAAGTGGACGTGCACGAGCAAAAAACAGTCAGTATGCAGTCGTAGCCCAAGCAGGCGGGCGTGAACATCGCAGAGAGCGCATCAATGAATATCTGGAGGAGCTGACTGGTAAAGCCATTGACCGTGTGCAACGTATGAGTCACCACGAGTTTTATTTAAAGGTGATGTTTAAGGACACTACCGAGCCATAACTTACTGCTCTCACTCTCACTGCCCAGTGTTACTAACATTATCATCCATTCCTCTGTGATTCCAGTTAAGTGAGCTTCAACAAAAGGCAATTATTTCTAGTAAAATTGAAGAAAGCTGCAAAACGGAGAAGAGGAGGAGTAATACTGCTTCCAATATCCAGTTCTTGTGTCGAAACTGTTTTACCCCTGTGGCTTCTGGCAGTGACATTCAACTTGTTGACAATACGCAATATGTCAACGTCAGCCCTGACTTTAAGTGAGTTAAAGATGTTCTGATCTAAGAGTTAAAGCAGAAGTATGTTGAGACCAAATAAAAATATCTTTGCTTCTTGTTTGTCCTCAGGAATCACTACAAAGTTGCAGAGCGGGTGATTCTAGAAAGGAGCTTTGAGGACTGGGAGCCTGGGTGTAGAATCAGATGCAAAAAATGCGACAAGGTACAGTGAACTCACTGTTTAATACTGTATCTAAATAGATCCACAGTTCATGCTCATGTTGGAATCTGACTGTTATTCTTATACACATTCACAGGAATGGGGATTCGAGATAAAATACAAAAAGCATGTCTTAATGCCAAATCTAGCCATTAAGAACTTTGCCCTGGAAACCCCCAAAGGCAGGATAACAGTAAAGAAATGGAAAGATGTACCTTTCACTGTTGAGGACTTTGACTATGAAGAGTACTGCCAGGAAAACTTCCCTGACCTCTTTGATTGAGCCACAAACCAGAAAGCTCTGTGTGGTTTTCTTCTGCACTTTACTTGATTTTGAGACTCCAGTTTCTTTTAGAAAACCATACTGTTGTATGGTTGGATGTTTGCATGAACACAGACTTGAAAAATTCACTCCACATATGCTCGGTCATTGTTCCATGGTGCCTGAGGCAGCTAAAAACCTTAGTGCATCAGTCATGTTTATAATTAGCAATTAGTGAATGCTTCGTTTATGCCCAGTGCCTGAGTTCATTTGCCTTCTTCTATAACATGACCCTTAAACATCATGAATATGTGACATGCCATCAAGAGGAGATTAATTAACATGAACTGTTTTAGCTATTTTAAAATGTGTTCAGATGTAATGCTGTTGATGTGTGTATGAAGTTTGACATTGTGGACAATTTCTGTAACTAAATCAGATGTTTTATGAGAGCCTAATCTTAAGAATTATCATTGTTCACTAACAGATGAAATCATCCTTTTTATTTTTTCTATATTGTAGCATATAATTTTTTTTAACTAAATCTAAATTTGATTAATTTAAACAAATGCTCCTTTTGAAATGATTGATTTTTCATAAGTTTGCCTTTATTAATCAGTAGGTGTCAGTCTTGGATAGCACAAGAAATGTTTTCGTAAAGCCAGGATTAAAGCTTTCCACGAGGATTTTCACATCGAAAGATGTGGATGTAATGGAAATGTCTGAATCTGCAGATAATGTGGAAATATACTGAGAATGAATGACTTGCAGGCCACAGTCAAACATGACAGACCCATGAGCAAGGCATTTAATCCCCAACTGTTTCTATAAATTATGGTATTATCCACGTCAGGAGCACGGTTGTGCAGCCTTCTGATGTGTCTAGGCAACCACTGTAAAAGAGATGTGCATTCAGTTGACTGAATAGACACACGTTATTTGCTGGGATGAGGATATAAAAATATATATTTCTGTTTATATCTCTGTATAAAACTGTTACATAAAAACATTATAAAAAAAAAGGATATGTGAAAATGCTGACTTCAGAGACTTTAATGTAATGTTTTAACACCTGGGGATGCACCCTCAGTATTACTGGATCAATACATAGTTATGTATTTTAACTGTTGTGGTTTAACACCATATAACTGATCTACATTAGAGATATGATTATTTCAAATTGCAATTTGTCACACTGGAGTAAGGCATACATGTTTTACAATTATAAAGTCTGTTTAAAGCAGACTTATTCCCAAGGATAAGTCAAAAAATATATATTTTGCTGTGATCTGGCCACGGATGAGGCATTTAACCTTCAATAAGCAGTGGGATAGTATCAGGTCTGAACACTGAATCTTTATTAGATCTATTTTAGAGCTTAAGTTTAGATGTAATTTATTACTGAGTTGTAAAATAAATCTATAAACTCATTAATTCAAATTATTACTGATTGTCTGCAGCTCTCTTGACTTATTTGCAACACCAGTGCTGGCTTTAGCTGTAAATATTCTTTATACATCTTTATTTGACTGACTCCTAGTGTCTCTGAACTAGGCATCTGTCAAATCTGTCATTTTTGTGCAGAAGAAGTGTAAAATGATCCATCAAATGCTTTATTTCCTCTGAGTGCACACAGAGCCCTAAGCAGAAAGCCTGGCTTAACTAAGACAGAAAGCCTGGCTATGTCAAACTTCTCTAGCTGAAGATGATGACAAGTTATTATTTAATGCAATCCACAATTTAGGTTTGTCTTGTTGGCCAATCCTGAAGAAAAGAGTTTGAGAGCAAAGAGCTGGACCAAGTCAGTGGAGAGACCAATAAGAAGCATTTCTTTGTGTTACTGGTGCAGACGTCAGAGCCTTTCATCTGCACAGCACAGCTCTTATACAATGCTCTGACTAACAAGGAGGTATTAAGACATGTTGTGCTCTCAGGTCAGTGAACGTCAACATTTCTAACATTTTGGGAACTGGGCGCCTGGATGTAGAATCAGATATAGTAATTTAAACAGGGCACAGACTTTAATACTGTGTTTAATAATACTATAATAATAATACTATAATTTAATAATACTTTAAACACTAGTGTCAAATTGGGCTGCACGATTTGTCGACATAATCGATGACGTCGACTATAAAAATTTGTAGACGCAGAATTATACTGTCTACTAATAAATATGTTTTTGTAATACAAGGTATACTACACTGCAGTACACTACAGGAAGACTGCGATCAAGTGAGCCCTGGCGCCAGCTGCACCTATACAATCCTGTTGCACTTTTCATACACATATTACGGTATGGGTGCCGACTGGGTTAGAAACAGTCTTCTGAATACTTGCATTTTTCACTATTTTACTTCTTAATCCACTTCGAGATTTGAAATATTAGCTATATATATATATATTTATATGATATACATTAATATATAATTATTACACTACACGTTAAAAATAATAAAAAGAATTACAAATTCGGTAAGAGTTGACAATACATTTGTCTTCTCACTATACTGTATATTTTTGTTCAACCTGACCTTATCCCCAACTAAACTGCTGTGCTGTATTTTTGATATTGTGTATTTTTTTAATTCTATAACAAGAAAATTGTTAAAGGTGACGTGAATATTTCACTGGATTCTATGGTGTGTTCACACCGCAAAAAAGTTTGGGCAACCTTGTTAATAGCCATTATTTTCCCGTATAAATCGTTGGTTGTTACAATAAAAAATGTCAGTTAAATATATCATATAGGAGACACACAGCGATATTTGAGAAGTGAAAAGAAGTGTGCAATAATTGTTTAAAGAAAATTTAAGCAGGTGCATAAATTTGGGCACCACAAAAAAAGAAATGAAGTAAATATTTAGTGTATATTGATGTGTGTGTCTCCTACATGATGTATGGGGGGGCCTTTTTCTGGACGTGCTTCCCATCCAGAGCTCCACAGCAGAGAGGGAAGTTCCAGCGCTCCTGGAATCCTTGTGTGATGGACCGCCAGTCTCCAGGTGAAGGCACAGACATTGTATTGATCGTGCCACATACCGAAGAGTTATTGTACACTTTTACAGACATAACAATAGGAATGATTTCCTGACGTGTACTTCATGGCTGAAAGGTTGAATCAGTTAGAGGGAGAAGAAGCTATGCTGCTTTACAAAGGTGGAATGAAGCAGGTGTGATGGGGTGTCTATAATGGAGAACCGTTTGTTCAGTGACCTCTGACCTTCGCCCACCAGTGCTGCTTCTAACCTTGCAGATGAATTTGCTCTTCCTTTTGGCATCTCTGTCACTGATGATGCCCATACTTGTACACAGCACCAGCTGCTGGTCCTGCAGTCTAAAATGAGAACGGACTCGCGTACTTGAGAATTGAGAAAAGGAAAAATGCAAGTATCCAGAAGCGCTTCTAAGCCAGTCGGCACCCGTACCGTAATATACGGAAGAAAAGTGCAATACGATTGTAGGTGCGGCTGGCGGTGCGGCTAGCTTGACCTGACTTCGTGTGTGAGGGCTCACTTGACCGCAGTTACAGGAAGCACCCTGGAGCTGTGACGTCAACTCTGAATGAGTCAGTTTGAGAGAGCTAGTGCGTTGCGTTGACCGTGTTTATGTTAACGTTTGTACAGTAATTCCATGTTAATGCTTGTACAGTAATGTTTATGTTCATGTTTATGTTAGCTTACCGGAAACTTCTCAGGATATGCTAGCTAATCACCTGAGCAGGTGAGATACCCTAGAACAGGTTTGCCTACAGGAAGCGAAGATAAGAGTTATTGAAATACTCGTTGACTAATCAAAGAAAAATTGGCAGATTAGTCGACTACCAAAATAGTCTTCTGTTGCAGCCCTAGTACAAATAGATCCATAGTTAGGGATTGTGTTGTTTTTATGTAAATACACAGGAATAGGATAACGTACAAGAAGACCCTATCCACAGTGACTATGTATTTTTCTTTGGAGATTCAGGGTGGAAGGAAAACATTGAAAGAGAAATAAATATTTGTTAACATCATGACGTTCTCACAATTGAGACCCCTGTAAGGGAGGAAAGGGGGTTTTCTTTTGCAATCTACTGGAGTTTGTGAGCCTATTTTCATTAAGAAAATGCAAGTTAATCATTTTGCAGCTGGACGTTTGAATGAACCCAGACCACGGCCATTGTATCATCCCCTTTGCATGTTGTTGTAAGGAGTTCTTCACTTTCCTCTCAAGTCCAGCACAGAAGCAAATGATAAAACCATCTCCTGCTGTAACATGAACCTTAACCATCGTGTACACTTTATGTAATCAAAAAGATGAACTTCCATGAACCATTGTAGTCATTTTAAAGTGCACTTAGATGTAATACTACAAATTAGTTTACAAAAATATGATATTGTGCATACATTGATTATCTCAAATTTAGATGTTTCATTTGAGCTCAGTCTTTAGAAAATGTCATTGTCAACTAACAGCTGAAATTAGTTTTTTATGGTTTAGATCTATAAACATTTAGACTACATTGTAAAGATGAAGAATTTGACTGTAACACAATGAAAGGAAACTGAAACCAAATACTGCTGAAGCTCTTTTGCCAGAGGGTAGAGATCAAGTTACGTGAGCTGACATTAAAACAGACAAGGGGATTTTTTTTTTTTTGCAACACTAACAAGCTGTTTGTTACATGAGGAAAGCAAAACTAAAAACAATAGGCAGAGCGAGTTAAGAGTAGATATTTTAGTAATCACCTTCTGTTCATCCAGAGACTCCCTCATGAGGGCCAACTTTCTGAGTTCAGATAAGTTTCATTTTCCAGTTTCCACGTGACATGGGCAGTCCAAACAAAATTGAAAACATCACCAGCTTGCAACTGTCTTGTGACGGCTGAAAAAGAGACAAAACTACACAGAGCTTCGTCACTGGTGAGTTCAGAAGGCTGACTTTCTTTCTGTTTGTTTTGTCACTAGCTTTGCTCCAGCAGACTTTTAAGGCTAAGAGTTTGAAGTCACAACTGGGTGTCCATTTCTCTTCTACAGTATCTGTATTCTATGCCACGCAAAAATATTACTGAACAAAAGGGCACTGCGAAATGGCAGATTTTGGACTGCATAACTACCAGCAGGAAGTGGTTGAAAGGGCTCTTAAAGGAGAGAACATCATAATATGGTTACCGACAGGAGGTGGAAAGACCCGCGCTGCAGTGTATGTGGCCAAAAAACACCTGGAGACCACACCAAATGCTAAAGTGATGGTCCTCGTAAACAAGGTACCTAAAACAGAAAGAGGGGATTTAATTTTTAAGACAAAAAAAAAACTATTATACACCTGCTGTGACTAAAGGTGACTAAATATAATGTTTTTGATGTGCTCTATAATTCAGGTTCATCTTGTTGACCAACACTACAACAAAGAGTTTGAGCCTCACCTGGGTGGTACCTTCATTATTAAGAAAGTCAGTGGAGAGAATAAGGAAAAGGACTTTTTTGGGTTAGTGGTGAAGCAGTCACAAGTAGTCATCTGCACAGCGCAGATCTTGTACAACGCTCTGATTAACAAAGAGGAAGCAAGACATGTCGAGCTCTCAGGTGAGTCAAAGTGAGCTTAAACATGTCTGATTATGCTTTTATGCTGAAATGAACTGACTTGAGGATTTTCTACAGATATTACTCTGCTGATAATTGATGAGTGCCACCATACTCACAAGGAGGAAGCCTACAACAAAGTAATGAGACTCTATGTGGAGAAAAAGTTGAAGGGAGAAAAACCACTGCCACAGATCTTGGGCCTCACAGCATCCCCAGGGACAGGAGGCGCAAAGGCACTGGAAAAGGCTGTGGAGCATGTACTGGAGGTCAGGGATTCATTTTTTATTTGAGCTTTTTATATAATTTATCTCTATTTAATTAGCTGGCTTTGCTTGAAAATGCTCCTCCTTTCAGATTTGTGCCAACTTGGACTCAGTCATAGTTTCAGCTAAAGAATATGCATCTGAACTGAAGGAAGTGGTGCCCAAACCCAGAAAAAGCTTCAAAATTGTAAAAGAAAGACTTAAAGTAAGCATATTTTTATACCTGTTTTTATTTATTTGAAATACGAAAATTACAATTTTCTTGTATTTATAAAAACAACACGTTGTTGTTGTTATTGTTGTTGTTGTTGTTGTTGTTTTTGTGACAGTAGCACTAGAAGCAGGTTTTCATTTGCTGTAATAAAAAAGAAATTGCCAGATATGGGATAAATATTTCATATCCTTCTATAAAGTTTATGTTTTTCCCTTATTATCTTTGTTTCTATTCCCATTCCTAACATCACCTCTTGGCATGAAACACAAACAGAGCACTTGTTAACCTTGTTGATCTTATATGAAAATTGCAAGATAACTCTAAATTTGAATGTTTTTGTATGTATTCTTTACTTGCTCATTTAGAAAAAAAATGATGGTAAAGTTTTCTAGTGCACATCTAAAGAAAAAAAAAGAAATAATCTATCAGATCTTCCAGTGTTTTAGTGACAGAGCTTTACCACTTTCCCTTTCTTTGTGAAATAATTCACTGTGCTGCTTGTAAACCTGTTTGTGTTTTTGACTGCTCACATGTTGCCAACAACATGCCTTTCCCATGAAAATGCTTTTACATTGGGAAACTCAGGTTTGACTTAATGGCCTGTTTAACACATTTGCTTTACCACTGACGTTAGTTAGTGAAACCAGTTAAGCTATCATGGGTATGCTGAACTTGCATTGTAGCAGAGACCCTTAGCTATCACACACATATTAAGTTTAGATATCTTAAACAAATCATGGAAAAATACTAAACTAAGAAGCAAATGCACATTTTAATATATAATAAAAAATAACCCTGTAGTATCAGACTGTAAACATTTTTTTATATTTAATATAATATTATGTTATTGGCTGAAGCAGTTGCTGTCCCAGAGGTATCATACAAATGCTGGCCTCAGGACAACAACCACTTGTTGAAAAACAGTATCTGCTAGTAAACACAAACACGTGTTTTTCTTTGAGGATCCGTTTCGTGATCATCTGATATCGATGATGAACAGCATCCACAGTCACATGAACCTTCCCCCAGACTTCAGACTTAAAGAGTGCGGAACACAAGAATATGAGGCAGATGTGGTGAATCTAGAGCACCGAGGTACAGACTTAGTTTTTAACCTTGTAACGTGATTTTGTTTTGAGCATATTTTTTCATAGAATTAATTAGAGTAAGTAAATCTTTAGATGAAACAATGCTTCTGCTTACATCTGTTTCTTTGACCAGGCATACAGGAGAAAAACAGGCTGCTTGCACAATGTGCGTTACACCTAAGGCAATATAATGATGCCCTCCTCATCAATGACACCTTACGGATGATTGATGCTTATCGCTCCTTAGAGGAGTATTACTCCAAAAAGAGAACCAATCCCATTGATGGGACAGACACCTTCCTGTTGGAACTTTTTGAAGGTGAGAGTCCTCATATTTTTATTATAATCCACATTTTCATGGTTTCAGCAAATATAACCATCACTTGCGTCACTATTTTGTGGCACACAGAGAATCAGGTGGAGCTAAAGAACCTTGCTATGGATTCTCGCTTTGATAACCCAAAGATGGATGAACTTCAGAGCACTCTGTTACAACAGTTTGGGTCAGGTGTCCCATCAAGGGCAATCATCTTCAGTAAAACTCGTAAAAGCACCCACTGCCTGAAAGACTGGGTCCTCAAAAACAGGGCATTGCAGGAAGCTGGCATCAAGGCAGACATCTTCATCGGCGCTGGTAATGGCAACACCTACATGACACAGGTATGATGATATACAGTCTTCGCCTATAAGCTTTGAGTCAGTCACATTCAGTAACATCTCTATGGACATTTCTGCATGTTTCCATGCTTTTTTATTTGCATATTTCTTATAGAATGGACAGGCAGAAACAATCAGGAATTTCCGTATGGGTTCTCTGAACCTCCTGATCTCTACCAGTGTGGCCGAAGAAGGTCTTGATATACCTGAATGCAACCTGGTGGTGCGCTACGGACTCCTTACTAATGAGATCGCCCAGCAGCAGGCCAGTGGACGTGCACGAGCAGAAAACAGTCAGTATGCAGTCGTAGCCCAAGCAGGCGGGCGTGAAGATCGTCGAGAGCGCATCAATGAATATCTGGAGGAGCTGACTGGACAAGCCATTGACCGTGTGCAAACTATGACCCCTCAAGACTTTTGCACAAAGGTGAGCGTATATACTCTACCAGTCCTTAATACATTTCACAGCCCCGTGGTATTAACATCACCTTCCATTCTTCCTTGTCTCCAGATTACTCAGCTTCAAGAGATGGTAGTCACTTGCACCAAAATTGAACAGAGGCGCCAAGCAAAGAAGAGGAGTCGTAACACTGCTTCCAGTATCCAGCTCTTGTGTCGAAGCTGTTTTACCCCTGTGGCTTCTGGCAGTGACATCAAGCTAGTTGAGAACATGTACGTCAACGTCAACCCTGACTTTAAGTGAGTTAAATATGTTCTGATCTAAGAGTTAACGCAAAAGCATGTTGGGGACAAAATAAAATATCTTTTCTTTTGGTTTGTCCTCAGGAAACACTATACATTTGGAGACCAACTGACTCTAAAAAGAAGCTTTGAGGACTGGGAGCCTGGGTGTACAATCGGCTGTAAAATATGCAGCGAGGTACCCTCTTCAAATAAAAACAAAACATAATGTTACGTTCATGCTCGTGTTGGATTCTGAGTGTTGTTCTTGTGTAAATTTACAGAAATGGGGATTCGAGATAAAGTACAAGAAGTGTGCCATACTGCCAAATCTAGCCATTAAGAACTTTGTTCTGGAGAGCCCTGGTCAAGAGCGGCTCCCAGTGAAGAAGTGGAAGGATGTACCTTTCACTGTTGAGGAGTTCAACTTTAAAGAGTACTGCCAGGAACATTTCTTGCTCGATTAAGACATCAATAAGAGAGCTCTGTGTGGGTTTTCCTATTCTCGAGTTTCTTTTCACAGATTTGCTCCACAGATGTTAAGTCTTTGTTCTGCGAGCCCTGCGTGCCAAAACCTTTAATGCACCAATCATGCTTGTAATTATTTGCATTTGTTTTGTACATAGAGTATTTCCTCATTCACATCTCAAGTCAAGTACAGAAGCAAAGAACATGAACCATGAGCATTTGACATGTCATTAAGAAAAGATTCATTTTACATGAATTTTTAGCTATTTTACAATTAGTTTAGATGTAATATTACCAATGTGTGTTTGAATTATGTAAGTGGGAGTACAGTGATCATCTGACATTTATATAAATACTTATCCTAATGTTAAGAAATTGTCTACTAAGTCTAAATCCCTTTTTGTGTGTTTAATATGAATTAATGTTACATTAATTAATATCAAATAAAATCAGACATGTCTTTTGAAATGATTAATTTTGACTTTATTAGCCAGTAGGTGTCACTGTTGGATAGCCAATGTTCACAATCTGCAAAACGCTACAGTTCTCATCTGCCCTCATTACTGCTAACAAATGGTGTGACTAAAGCCAGGATTGAAGCTTTCCATGTGGATTTTCACACTAAAAAATTGGCCCTCTATGGCCCGGGGCTCTGATGTAATAGAAGGGAGTCTGAATACATGGATAAAGTAAAGATAAGGCTGAGAAAGAATGAATGTATGACTCTACTCACAGTCAAACTTGTCAAAACCCTTGAGCAAGGCATTCATTCCCCAAATGTTTCAGTGAAGTTTCTCATTAGCGACTACATTGAGATGGTATAGTCTCCTGATGTATGTGTGGAGCATAGCAAAGCAAATATTGTGCACTCTTTTCAGTCAACTGATGTACAAGAAAAAGCATTATATGAAAAGGTGGTACTTAAAAACACCGTCCTCAAAGACCGTCTGTTTACATATTTAAACTATAACCTGAATGCTGCCATGAAATGTTTTGACTGTTTCAGATCACCATGCTTCTTCTGCATCGCTAGATCAATATGTGCTAATGCATTTCAGCTTGGATCATTTAATATCAAATAAACAGGGGAAGTGATTTATTATACTTGCAAATTTTCATTTAAACATACAGAATTCAAAAAATACATTTAGTTGCATAATGTCTTTACCAGTTTTTCAGAACCCTCACATTTTGGCAGCACTCAGAATGCAGACCTAGACAGCTAGACTTGGAGTTTCGTTAAGCTCCTGTGTTTACATACACAAATCAAACTCCACATACATAAGCAGCACTTTGTGTTTTATATAGAACAGTTTGCAAAACAAACCCATAAACTGAAACTAAAGAGACTGGTGGGGAAACTATAAATTTAAAAGCTGGAAAACATATTGGACAGATTCATGTCCGATGTGACCCATAAATTATCTTTGTGTGTCTCTCCACAAGATTAGGTCAACCTCATGGTGTCACACGCGGCATAATCCTTTCAAATCTGGCAGCGAGCTGGAGTCTGTAGTGCTGCCATGGACATAATCACACTAAAAACAGGCTCTGTTCCGTCTCATTCCCGACTCCGATTCAGGCGGGCACAGAGGAGACGTACAGTCAGTATATGATTTACTCTGATCAGGCTCTGGCTCTATAATCAGCACTGATTACTTCCTTTTACTTCCCAGCTCAACACCCCATGCATCTTAATTGCAATTAGGTGTCTTCTGAAATTAAAGCAAGTTGGAGTAGTTGAGCAATGAATGATTACATAGGTAGGTGTACATACACAGAGATTACATACACAAATGCAGTGTAGATTTGTTTGTACGATATAGGGAATCCTTTAAGACACACAATAGAATCATTAGTTTTTATGGCATACACATCTGTAAGTACAAGCAAGACAGAACGTATCCTCGTGTTTTGAAAGCGGCACTGGGGACATTCTGTCTTTTGAGACATTGGAGACATGGAAACTCACAGTCTGCGTTGGAGCTGAACTGTAATGTGAATTTTAATTAGACAAGTTCACCAACAGAACATGCTTGTTTTCACATCAGCGTGGGTTTAGCCTTTTTTGAACAAGATTTAATTTTTCAACAATATTAAGAGTTGCAGTGATTTTGTCATGCATAATAATAATAATGATGGGCATTTATTATTTACATTTTGTGTGCACACTTCCCCCCCAGATCTATGTTTAATTATCCATGTAACTGTGTGAGCCAACGTTGTCCCCTTGTTTTGTTTTGTTTTCAAAATTCAAATAATGATTAATCTAGGAAAAAATGGTGGTACTAATAGATGAAAATTAAAAGATGGGGGCTCAGTGTTCACCCTCTTGGTGAGAAGGAAGAGATTTGTCTTACAGGCAGCCAGGTAATATGAATCTTGAGTGCCTCCTTCAATTTGACTGAGGATCAATTTGACCTAATTAGCAACTTGTAATGGTAGCTAGGTGACCTGGCCACCTCCGCTTATTAGCCAAGAAACTAACACAGCTGGCTGGATTCTTTTTAAGCTACGAAGGACAGTCAACCATACTGATGCTTCTGCAAACTGTGGTGCACTGCTCTGTTCCTTTCTTCTGATTCAGCTGCATGTTGTAAGTGTTTTTTAATTTAGCCTAATTACAAATTGGCATCTCTTTTTTTTCAACCACAAAATGAGCTTTTTTCATTTAATGCTTATCAGCCTGTTGGTATTACTTGCATTTCATTATGACATACTGACCTTGTTCTTTCCAGGCGCTGGCTTCTTAAGGTTGCTCTGAGTGCGGATGAATAGCCTCTCAGGGGAGGACAAACTTGTAGATGCTCTGTAGCAATTGAGTACACATGTCTCATCTGGTTAAAGTTCAGCTTAATTTCTCAATTACTTTATTTTTCTGTGCAATAGCGAAATGTATTTTGAGGAGAATTATTATTATTATTATAAATTCTGCTACTCAGCAGTTGATTTTTAAGCCTCTGCTTCAATATGAATGGAATCTTTAAAGTGCATCAGTTGCTTGATGGGTCGGTTTTCTGCCTGCACATTAAATTCACAGCTTTTAGACTAGTGCCAAACTGGTCTAAACAACCAATACATTCATGATGTCAACGGTTCAACACAATAGTGTTTTTTTCCTGTGTAGCTGTCAGACATACTCACTCCAGGACTCTCACACAGGACACAGACAGACACAAATATCTCCTAGGGTAAAGTGAAGCTGTCACCGAGATGGGCTTTTCCTCGGGGCCAGCCTACTTGTCAGGCAGCCACTCTTGCCACCTGAGAGGTTGCTGTGTTGCTTGTCGACCTTCTTGTAGAGGTGATAGGACTTCACTGTCCCTATTCTCATGGCAACATAACGGCTCGGGTTACCTTTACTGACAAGCTCGGCCTTGAGATTTTCAGTGTCTGTCTGTATTTTGTCTTATTTGTAGTTCAGGTCAGTGCATTGCAGTCCACTTTGCTGGATTCTTTTGATTTGGAGGGAGTGTGGGTGTTAAATTTTATGCACAACTACAATTTCGACGCATTCAATTTGTTTAACACCCAGATGCTTCTGTTTTTGTGGACATGAAAGCAATTATACTGTGCACAGAGTACATCTTTGTTGTTGCATTTCTTCTTTGATTGAGGATGTAGCTCTCTGAAGTGGACTAGTGTCCGTGCCAGAGCCACGACTTAACCAGCCTATTTCATGCTTTATTATGGAGCAGCTTAAAAGAGGTGCTTGTCTTTACTGTCTGCCTCTTTCTGCCTGAGCTTTTGTCTGCTCCTCGCTATCTTGTTTCTTTCTTCTGCTTTCCTTGTGATAGAACTGCCTGCTTGATTACTAGAATCTCAAAGATGAACTCCCCATAAGTGCTTCATCAGGACCTTTGATGCCCCTAAACTCTGCAGATGGTTCAGCTGTTTTACTGGCAAAAAATAAACTCTTAAAAAGACAAAACAAGCACAGCTGCCTTTTGGTCCATAAAGCAGGATATCAAAGCAGCAGCAAAATTACTCGAGAGTTATGAAATGTTATATAATTACTGATTACACTGTATGTAGACCTAGTTGTGGTCAGATTTTTTTATAAACACTCAACCTGGCCGCGAATGTCACGGTATAGTTTTGAGCTTTTAGAAGAAAAGAGAATATCTGTTTTGTATTTATAAACTTTAACATATATAATTAAATTAAATGCAGTCTTCATCACAAAAACAATATAAAGCTATAAACTATATAAATACTTATAACATACAATCTGAAATTGCACACACCGTTTATGGCACGGAGCACATTCATGTGGATATTGTTATTGCAGCATTTAATGCTTCTACAGCTCCAGCATAAAAACCTTTTAACGAATTCTTTGAACTGTTTTTCCAGAGCGGAATGATTGTACTACACATATCTTTTAATGGGGACCACAAGTTTCCTATTCAATACTATCCTATCCATTTCCTATTCAATACTTGGTCAACATTATACATTATACATATACTACTTTGTGGATTAGATAAAATTCATATTAAACACAAATTTGTGCACCGAATTCCTTTTCCCCCACTCATTAGTACTGTAAAACTATTCCTCGCCGGAAGAAGAACAGTTCACAGAAATCACTAAAAGCCCAAATTGCTGTGATATCCACTGAGTGTATGTAGACCTCTGACCACAACTGTATACTTGTAAATTCAAATTCAAATTTTATTTGTCACGTACACAGTCATACACAGTACGATATGTAGTGAAATGCTTGGACAACTGCTCGTGACCTAAAGAAAACAAAAAAGGAAAGGCTATGAATAAGATAGGAAATAAATATGAAAATTAAAAAGGGTAAATTTAACTAGGAAGGAATAAAATATAAATTAAGGTTAAAAATGAAATAACTGTACAACACAAATTAGAATGAAGGGTAAATTTAACTGGGAAGAATAAGATAAAATATATAAATTAAAGTTGAAAATAAAATAACTGTACAACAAAATACACAATACACAATATAGAACTATATAAGAATGTATGAAGAAATCTAAATATAAATAAATATATACACAATAACAGCAGCTGTACAAGTATTAACTGGAAATGAAGAATATAGTGACCAGTGTTGTGCAAAACCAAAGTCCAGAATGTCCAGTGTGTGTGTAAGAACCATATGTGTGGGTCAGTACTGTGTGGTGGTGTGATTGAGAGACCGTATCGCCTGCGGGAAGAAGCTCCTCCTCAGTCTCTCTGTGTTGGTCTTCAGGGAACGGAATCGCTTTCCTGACCTCAACAGAGAGAACAGTCTGTTGTTGGGATGGCTGAGGTCCTTCACGATCTTCCTGGCCTTGGTCCAGCACCGCCTGCTGTAGATTGAGTGCAGGTCAGGGAGCTCGGAGCGGATGGTGCGCTCAGCTGACCGCACAACCCTCTGTAGAGCTCGTCTGTCCTGCATGGTGCTGTTCCCGAACCAGGTTAAGATGTTTCCCGCCAGGATGCTCTCTATGGTGCACGAGTAAAAGTTCCTGAGCACCTTGGAGGGCAGTTGGAAGTCTCTCAAGCGTCTGAGGTGGTAGAGACGCTGTCGGGCCTTTTTCACCACGGTGTTGATGTGACAGGACCATGACAGGTCCTGCGTGATGTGAACTCCGAGGTATTTGAAGCTGTCCACTCTCTCCACTGGCCACTCGTTGATGACGGGGGTCTGGTAGTTCCTCTCCTGCTTAGTGCTGAAGTCCACTATCAGCTCCTTTGTCTTTGTAGATTTAGACTCAAATAAATATGTCGTTCTGTCCCTTTTTCTTTTGCCTCTGCTGCAGTTTATGTCTCACTAATCCTTGTTATTAATCCACGTTGAGTCGCTTTGACTCATTCAGACTAGTGAAGATTATTGCGGATTCATATGAAAGCACACTGTGGGTTTTTTTTTGTTTTTCTCTTTTGTTTCTTTTTACTCATGTCTATGCTGATGATTGCAGGATGATTGAGTGTGGTCCTGTTTAAATGTGTACAAAAATGTATTTCTTTGGGGGTGATGAAGGATGAAAGGGCTAATTGAATATTTTAATTTGAACGCCTTTAACTATAACAAAATATTGGTTCCATATTAAATGAGTCCAGTGGGAAAATGAATGACTATTAGTTAATTGTTGAAATATTTAAAAGCAAAGAATCCTTCAGAGACTCACTTTTTACATTTTTAATATTGTCTTGGTTGAGCCCTGTGTTTGTGTAATATATGTTTCGATTTCCAGTGAGTCAGAGACATGTTTGCCCTCTAAAAAACAATATATTTTCCCACCATTTTTGAATCTTCATTAACTGAATCATTTGATGATTAATCAAATAAATAACAAGGGGATATTCAGTTGTATAATAATAAATTATAATTGCTACCTAGAGCCTTACTTTCTATCATGTTATTAATTCATCAAGTAAAAAACAAGCAGTTTCTCAAATATGACTTTTTTCCCCTCGTCATGTAATCTGGTTTTGTCATTTTTGATTCAACGTCTTGTGCTTTCAGATTGATTGTTCTACAACAAATGGCAATTTGACAATAATTTATGGTATCGTATGCAGTGTTGGTCAAGTTACTTGAAAAAAGTAATCAGTAACTAATTACTGATTACTTCCCCAAAAAAGTAATCCCGTTACTTTACTGATTACTTATTTTCAAAAGTAATTAATTACTTAGTTACTTAGTTACTTAGTTACTTTTTAAAAACACGATTTACAACCTGAATAGGTGATAAAGCGATAGATCTTTCAGCCCAATTCTACTTTTTCTACATAATCCATCATACAAAATGTAATCAAATGGAAAAGTCTCTTTTTTTAACTTGTTTTATCATTTTTAATCTTTTAACTTTATGCATCAAGCAAAAATTTAATTATATGCAACATTCTCTGAGTTGAATAAATGAGTTTAACATTTAAACCTATTTTCTGCACATTCCAGCACATAAAATAAAATAATTTTTTGTGTTTACACTCACTCTTTCAAATAGATGCAAGTAAAACACAGCAGAACATAAATAAAGTCAAAGACTCAGCGGTCCTGTTGCTCTATTTTCACCTGTAAAGCAGGACTGCAGTAGGCGGAGGTTTACCCTGGTGCAGGTGTGCAGCGGTCAGTGGAAGGATACGGCAGTGTCTCTGTGAGTTTCCCATTACGTCGTTGCGCTCTTGGTGCTTCCTTGGAAGTTTTCTTCCCACGCACGATGGACGCTAATGTTTTTGTCACTTTTTATGGAATCAAACTCAAAGTAAGGTCAGTACTTCCACGCTTTAAACGCTGCACGCTCATACTCTCTCCCGCACTCGATATGTGATCCATTGTTGATCTGCACACAGCTGTTGTCACTAACGGCGCACTCGCTTACGTCACTGTCGTGAGACATTCTCGCAAAAAATCACGGTTTTAGTAACGCAGTAACGCAGCGTTCCTACGGGAAAGTAACGGTAATCTAATTACCGATTTTGCAATAGTAATCCCTTACTTTACTCGTTACTCGAAAAAAGTAATCAGATTACAGTAACGCGTTACAAGCAACGCGTTACTGCCCATCTCTGATCGTATGGTATTCCAGTGGTTCATTAATTTCTAAGAAAATATTTAGAACATTGATCATCTAAATTGGCTGTTGCAGAAACAACCAATTTGCAGATGTTGTGTCTCAATGTAGTTTCTCAGTATTTCTAAATGTTTGTTTATTTCTTATTACATGAGGCCTAAATATGCACACAGACACATTATGTGCAGATGCGTAGAACTGAAAAAAACATTTATACAAACCAGTCTTTATTATGAAGATGCCTGGGCTCAGATAAGCAGCGAGAAAACAATGACAAAAAAGCAAAACCAACACAAAAAACTGCCTGAAAAGTCTTGCAGAAAACTATGCATGTGACAGAAAGAGGCAGAAAATGTACAATAATATAGAGAGATTCCAATTAAGGTAGAAAAAAAGAGCTATATGAATACCTGCATAGAGTATAGAAAAGTCAGGGGTTGAATTAGTCAGGAGGAACGGCAGCATATGTCCTCAAGATGAAAAACGAACTGAAAGTGAAGTCATTCATCATCTGTAACCTTGCCAAGACACGGGACAAGCTCTGATGGGAATAATCTGATATGAACCGAATGAGACAACACAACATGCTTACAGGGATGGCTTATAAACACTTTTCAAGTCCCCAAGCAGTGCAATCAAAGCTATGGAAAAACCTTGTTTCTGTGTGCAAGTATAGCCACAGATAAGTACAGGGCTCATGTAGCATAAAAGGATTTCTACAGATTTACTCTGGCGAATTGAGGTATTGATCCCTTTCTTCCATCTGAGACAGTCAAGGGAGAGAGGATACTTCTGCAAATCTTAGACTGGTTTATTTGAATTGTTCTCGTTTCCAGAGTGACTTACTGTAACTGCAGGGTAAGACGCTAGAATTATTGAAGGGGCAGAAGCAGAAGATAAAGTGAGCAATGTAAGGAACTGTTCAGTTTTTAGTACTATAAAACTAAGATGCTGTCCAAAATCACATAAAGTTATTTTAAAGAAACTTATTGCAAATGTTTAACAGTAAATCTGAGACTTTTATCTTTGCAAACTGCTTTCTATGCAAGAAAAGAAAGGTGGTGGGTTTAGCATTGCTACTTGCATGACGGCAGTATGTAAATAATGGAATCAGTCGCAGACAAAATGTAACAGGCATTTTGAATGAGCATCATTAATGACAGCATCATCATCATCACCACCAATAACAGCGACAACAAGAGCAAAATAATAAATGGAACCATTGATCATGCTCGGAGTGCTGCAGGTCATGGGCTGCAGCTTTGCTTAATAGAAGCACTACATTAACTGATAGTGAGTTTTGACAGATCCAATTAGAATGAGTTCCACACCTCTGCCCTGCCCTCAAAGTAACCCTGACACAAGCAGCTATACGGCAGCGTGGCATCCACGGTGCTACAGCTTGGCCACAGCCTCACTGGTCTCTAATATTCCTTATGGTTAACACAGGGAATTATTTAGGAACGATCCATATGATTAGCAACATCATAAAAGCATTGATTGTTTTGCTTTTTCTTGGATTTGACTATCACAGTAATAACATACTATCCCCAGAGCATGAATGAATGTAGTACCATGCGTTTTCTACTATTGGAAAATAAATTTTCCATGCTGAATGCTTTTCATGCTGCCACCACACCCCAATTTCCCCACATCCCTCAAAATGTCTATTCCTGTCTTTGGTGAAGCCGCTTTTCTTTCTTCTGTCCACAAATGTCCAAATGATAGGTTTTGTGTCTAAGGAGAAGAGGGAGTCATGCTTCACAAGATGGAGCACAGCAAAACATCTGATTCCTGCCAAGGAGTGGAAACAAAGCAGGCTCATTTTTGCAAAGTCTATTCTTTTGTCCTCATCTAAGGCCTGTTTTCTTTGTGTACCCTTCACTCTGCCTTCAGCCGCTGTCCTCCCTCTCATTTATTTCAGTGAAACAACGCACTTGTCAATCTTTTCTCTTTCAATAGCTAATGGTCTAGCTATCCTTCCCTGCCCAACAGTCAAGCCAATTAATTCGATCAAGCTGTTGAAAGTCATTTTCAGTCACGGCGGGAAGGGGGGCACTGCTAGACTGACAGTGCTGACTCAATATACCCATTGTTATGAGAAGAGCAACACTGAGTAAACCGAGGTAAATTTGCCTGAATGGATCCTGAAGTCATTTTATATATGTACTGTTCAATTATGGGGTTTTTTGTGCATTATTTCACTGTTATTTCCAGTCGTAGAATACAATACCATAATGTGTGTACATGCATGTGTACTTTTGCACTCACATCCGGAGTATAACATGTGGTTAGGCTGTGGCATGAATCATGTCTTGTCAGAGGGAATACATATGAGACCATGAAAAACGATACTTTCAGCTTGTATGGCCTTGACATTGATGTAAAGGCATATTGTCTGTTTTCACATATCATATCTCGCTTCTATTCCTTATACTTTAAAAAAAAAAAATAGTAATGGATCGTGGCCTCTGGAAATGATTTCCACTCTTCAGCTGTCTAAACAGTTTTTATTTGACTTTCTTAAAAAGAAGCCTCGGAGAAAAACGGAACCTTGGTTGCAAGTGGATTGAAAGATGATGAGTTGTTCAAATGCTATTGAATAGGACTTGTGAGTGAATTTTTTTTCTTTTTTTGCTGATGTGAGCTATAAAACCCGTCATGCAGGCCTTTGATGTAGCTCTCCATTGTCTTGCAGAGCTGCAGGAAATTGAAAACGAAGATCAGGAGAGTGTTAGTGAAGGGGAGAAGAGGAGGAGGACGGGACTGACGTGCAGCCCGTCAGGGTTTTCTGGGACACAGCACACGGAAATGAACTAGCCTTGCATGACCCTACTCTCAAAGTGTGAGGATGTGCGGGGCAGAAAAGCAAGAACATTTGTTTTAGAGAACACGAGAGATCAAATAAGTGATTATATTTATTCAGTAAAACACTCAGGGCACAAATCCAGTTTAATATTTCTTTGACATCCTCTCCATCCCACGCATCCTCTCACTACTGCATCCAAAGCTCTATTTTAATTCAGGGAAAACACTAAACCTTTGAGAACTACTGCACTTGCTCAGCCTTAAAAGAGCATTTGTCCCTTGAGTGTTAAGAGTAAAATTTTAATGGAACCAAGATTTGATTTGCAACTTTTTGCGGCTTGGAGGAGAGAGAGGGGTTTCTTTTCACTGCTTGTCATTTTCTTCACTGTAAGTGCTTTCTCTATGTCTGTCAATGAAAAGTGCTGATAAATTATAATGACAGTACAAAATGATTTTAGGCAAGGTTTAAAAGTCCATTTCTTTTCTTTTGTGAGTTCTGGAAAGTTATTTTAGCATGTTCTTTCAACACTGCCGTTGCACGTTTGTGATTATATCAGAATATTTAATCCCATTTTGAGGATTAATTTAGTAAAGTTTGTCAATAGAATTTCTCATGTAAAGTGCTGTTGAAGAGGGGATTCGAATGCATGAACAATGAAAATGTGCAAAAACAAAACAGCAGTTCAAAGTTGAGTGGAAGAAGCATGAGGCAGATATGCAATGGATAAACGCTCGGCTGTCACTTCCGCTCACCAGCCCTCCTCAACTGTCACTGCAATATAAAAAGAGTCACAATCAATCAGGTGTCCCTAGCACACCTGTTCACTCCGCCTCCACGCCGCCCCCGGAGCTCACTGTGCCACGCCTCCTCTGCAGCGGGCCAGAGACCACACCTACGCCACAACAGGTAATGCAAATGAGGGGGGGAGGCTAAGAAATACAGGAAGTAGTAACAAGACAGGTGATGAAAAACCACAAGAAAGAAACATGAAAAAAAAATAAAAACACAAAAACTGACACTAAACCTGATGACACAGATGGAAAAACGGTTGTTGTTTCAGATTGTTTAAATATAGAACAAGGGTTAAATGCCTACAGAAGACAATGGAAACACTCTGTTATATCAAAATGACTGGCAATAAAGGAGGACCGTTATTTCCCCCCCTCACTATTCTATTCAGGTATTGGAGAAGGAGGTGCGAAGTGAGATGTGGAACGTGGCAGGTCAGACCTGGGAAAGTGGGTTTGCTCTGGCGGGAAATGGCTATTTACGTAGCTGAAAATGGAGTGGGCCTTTCTGACATTTTCATAGCCCTGCAGGCATGAGTAACCTTCAGTGCAAAACAGAACGATTAGAGAAAAGGGAGGGGGAGATGGAGAGGGAGACGCAGAGTGTGAGGTGGGGCAGAAATCAGGGGAACCGATTGCATGGGAGAGTTAAAAAATGATTGGAAACTGAGTTTGGTAGAACGGTGCAGGCAAGGGAAATAAACATGGACAGAAAGTATTTGGAGGTCATGGAAAAGTGTGAAAGGAGAGCACAAATATTGACAAGTAGAAAATAAAGAGGATGCTGGAGCGTAATACAACACAAGGTCAATAAAATGCATCAGTGTGTTGTATAGACTTTATTCTTGTAGTTGTAACAGCTTTACACCCTGTTGTGCCATTTAAACATCACTGTCAGATAAGTGACTGATGTCATATGGTAGCATTTTAGTTTTTAAAGACATCAAACATAAAGGACCACATTTACTAAGAAGAGCAAATTAGCTTTGTGCACAAGTGCAGCACAAATGGGTCAGAATCAATCAGATCTAATCTACTAGCAAAAATAATATCCTAGAAATGTAGATTTGATTTCTCTCTGGGCACAGCATGGCAATTCTAATAGCTGGAGAATAAAAGGAGAATTGATGTGTTGTCATATCAAAGCAAACTCTTCTGTCAGAAATCAATGTTGACTGTAAGATACCTCAGAGGTTGAGGAAGCCATTCTCTGGATGAACCTGAAATCTGACCTGCAGAATGTGTAAAAGAACCCAAAATAATGTTTGCCATCAGATCTTGATTGAATGTCACTGACTTAACTAACCGCAGCTATCACAACCATATTAGAGGAAAAAATTGTTTTTTTTAGTATTAAATAATTATTTTTCAGTAAATAGCCTACGACAAACCTCGGTAAATGTGTTTGCAAGATTTATTTAAATGCTCTTCTTTCCATTTATCAATGCCTTGCTTTAATAAATGGCAGCAAATATATTTTTAATGCAAAAAGAAGATGTTTTAGCCTACTGTTAAGTCTATCCCAAAGTCTTTGTTTCTCTGCTACTGTCTGCAATTATGTGCAATCATGGGTGCAGTCTCCTATGCATATTTCATTGTGACAAACTCAAAAAGAAAAACTCTATCACGCTGACTAGACAAGCAGTTAAGAACATGGATGGATGGAAGAGTAAGTCATATTAAAAGGTTTCTTTTTCCTCTTTATCTAGCTATGTACCTGTACATGTTCCTCAAGCAGCAACATCAGATGATCTGCCAAGGTGCTCGCCTACTACTGAGAGTATCATGGTCAACCGTGTGGTAGAGCTGAAATGGGCAAAGTTTTCTTTGGCCTGTTCATGGCTTAGCTTAAGTGAGATTGTCTGTGGATTACTAGGTGGGTCTAATGTACTTAAACTAAATTTAAAACTGAAATGTTGACCTGATGATTGTATTAGATTCATCTTTGGACCCAAATGTTCAAACTGAATTGCAGGGCATTCTATCCAACACCTTTAATTAGACTTTTAGGTGCTAGTGGAAATGTCACTTGATAATCGCTGTGATTTAGATGAATCTAATCTGAACAAAAATCTAACAAGAAATAAAAATCTGGGAAAAAAAACAGGAGTTCTTGCCTATCTGCTAGACTACTGCACAGAAGGCTACCTTTCTGTTTATATCTGCAGTTTCTACTGGCTTGGACGTAGATGACTGTGGGAAAGGGAAAACAAGCCCACACCAATACACAGATATAAAAAAGGGAGTTAAACCATACACCAAATGAAACAAGGCCTCAGAGAAACATTTTTAGAAGGTTCAGGAGAAACTGGGGGAGAAAATAATTTCCATGTGGCTGTGTAGCCAAATGAGGACTGATTATATCAGTAGGTGCTCCTGATAGACCCTGATTATGAGCAACCTCATTTCCTACAAATGACTCCATTGCAGAGAAGCGCAGAGTGCTAGAATATATTATTTTTCTTTAATGCACTGTCTTTCTTTCAGAGAATAACAATGTCACCATAATGAGAAATTTGCCAATGACACAAATGCACTCAGCTTATCTATGCATTTTCTTTCTCTATAAATCTGTCACACTGTAATTAAGTGACGGTGCAGGTTCATGAGCTATGACTGTTTCATTACTTTTGAATAGACACAATGTCATAATATGGATGAGAATCCATATCAGGGCAGAATCAATACATCCACTATTAGTTGAATCTTTATTAGTTTTATTAGAACACTAGCTGCATATTTATCGTTCAATATGCGCCAAAGGTTATATAGAAATTAGAAATATTTTAGCATGATGATAAAGTAGTAATTCCTTTGCTTCTTTTTTTTAGACAGCACTTTGGTTTATTCAAGGCTCTACCCACTGGTCAAAATAAACACCATTAAGTATTACTTAAACAGAAATAGGTGTTCTAGTTAGACATAATTATAACAAAAAGAATATGAATTTATGGTATATTGTTCCATAGGGAAAGGTAACCTTCTCAATTTTGTCCCCCACAATGTCTCTTAGAAGAAGAGGTGTGAAGATAGTTCCTGTGTGTCATTCAGACAGTTAAGCCTGCTGAGAATAGCTAGGCAATCATCTATGATGCAAGTTCAAGTATTGAAATAAATAAATAAAAACTTGGGTTTCTCTATGGTTGAATCATTTTCTAGCTTTTAATGCAGGGTCATTGCTTACATCCTGACCAGAGATTCCTTGCAGCATTTAAAGTATTATTCTCAGCCGACTTTGCACGAAAAATATATATACATGTGTTGGGTAAATGTTTTGGTATATTGACAGTGGATCAAACCCTGTGACAGACTGCTGTCTAAAAAGCATGAGGATATGCATTCCAACTTATTAATATGTATAGCTCTTGTGCTTGCATCCTCCCAGTGGAATTAAAAATGTGATAGTGCATAATGGTCGAGAGCCAGGAGGTTCTTTTCCTCACTGGGAAAAATGCCATGAAAGTCACAAGCAGCTCTCAGAGGTTAATTGTTGCACTATAAATCACAGAAGACAGTTTGGCTTTGTGTGCTGTCGCTGCATTTGTGGGTTATGACAAAGGACTGCTGCACCAGGTTGAGTTTGTCCTTTAATACCAATATTAGTATACCTTTGATTTGCCACGTGTCAAGGGACTCATTAATGAAAATGTTTGTAGATTTATACTTGAACTTTCCCAACAATGCTTGAATTCAATTCATAAAAGGTGGTGAAAAAACAAAACCAGTAGGGAAATCACTTTGAAAAATATCATTTTCACATCAGTCTCACATTGTATAAATAATTATGTTGTTTTCTCTTTTCTAATACTTGGGTACAAACTTCATTTTCAGTTTCACAAAAGATACCCTCAGTTTAATAAAACCCACACACTCAAAAAATGATTTTAAAAAATGTTTGAATCACATGAATCACAAAGAGATCCTGGTGTTTAAATGTTACCAAGTCACTAAGTCTGTGTTCTAATTAATCTCAAAAGACTTAATGAAGGACTCTTTGTGTTAGCCCTCTGATGAACTGGCAGCCTGTGTGGGGTGTACCCTTTCTCTCAGCCAGTGTCAGCTGGGAAAGACTTCAACCCTTCACAAAGCCAGTTCACCTTCCAAAACTTTGAACAGTTTAAGAAAACAGCTTGTTACAAATTAATTTTGACATTTCAAGAATCCCTTTGTATCGTGAAAATACCTTCATTAAGACAAACCATTTTTCATAAGAAGAAAAAGGGCAAACTGAAACTACTGGTAGGCAATAACACTTATTGTCTTGCAATTATTCCCAAAAGGAGGCGTGTTTCCTCAAGTGTCAGTAAAGTAAGCTGTTCTTTGATAAACCTTTACCAAGAAATGTCCATTTCAAGTCCTAAAAGTTTGTCTAAAACACCTTGTGATGCAGCTTTGATCTAGAAAATTATTAGCTGAAGACACCCTTGTGTTAGCAGTCCATCTGTGCAAAGTTGTGTTGGTAGTAAAATATCCTGTACACAATTTGCACTTTACCGTTGTGCTCATGTACTTTTATGCAACAAAATTAAAAGTAATGTTCATATCAGCTGATTGTAGCTGCTAGTGTGCAGGAATAAATAAACATATTTTGTAATGGGGTTTTTTTTTCAGTGCAGACAACTGAAGAAGCTTTGTAACAACACAACTGCAGCTATAATTTAAT